AAGAAATGTGCGGTAGAGAAAGAGCAAGGGCTCAGAGCGGTGGGGGAGGTGATTTCTGGTTTTGAACTCGTGTTCAATTTATTCAGAAGACCTATGTGATGGAAGTTCATTCCATTGATTCGATTTTGAAATCATGAAGATAAAACAAAAAAGAAATGTTCAGTACAATGCGCCAGCGTAATCCCATTGATGGAAAAAGAATCTGCGCGTGTGTGCATATGAGTGTGTGTGTGTGTGTCTGTGAGTGTGTGTGTCTGTGAGTGTGTAGAAAGAAGGCTCGCCAACCAGATGATGGTGATCCCTCCTTTCCATGATTCCAGGAGGGTGCTGCTGGCCCTAGGCTTGGTGCCAGGAGTCCAGCTCTGAACAGAGCACCCCCTTGCGTGAAAGAGTCAGGGTGTGAGAGAGTAAGGGGAGGGGAAGGAGGACGTGGACACGGCCCCGTGTTCTAAAACAAGGCCGTGTCATCTGAAGTGCCTATATTCATGAGTGTGTCCTTCGGAGTAGATAAGAAGAAAAGGGGGCGGGGTCAGGAGGACGGGGAGAGGAGCAGACACCGAGTCAGATGTCGGGGGTGCTCATGAAGGCAGGCCCGTCTTCTGTTCGCTTTCACCACGAAGGGGCAACTTCAGTTCCCAACCCCAGGCGTCAAGTTCGTAGTCGAAGTGGAAGGAAAGCAATTCAGTCCGAGTATATGCTCTACACTAGCCATATGCCAGTGACTGCAGACTCCCCACCACCCAGTCACCTGATGCCCCACAGAGAACCCCTGTCGCCACGTCCGCCAGGCCCGAGGGGTGGGGGTGGGGGGCTCTGGGGGTAGCATCGTCTTCCATTTGTGCACCCAGTCCTCCTCCTGGTCATCACAGAGCCCCTGTAGAGTCCCTGTCCCCACTCACCCTGGCTGCCCCACAGAGCAGGCTTCCCCTACCGACGGTGTCCTCTGCTGCCCACACAAGAATCAGGACGAGGTTATAAGGTGTAGCCTGTGCTAGAGAGAGAGTCACAGTCTTCCTACCCACCCATGACCCAGTCCTTGGATTTGTCTTCTGCTTTGTATAGGAGAGCTGACAAGATGAAATCTATTGGTGAATGTACACACACACACACACACACACACACACACATCAAATCAATGCTGTCTCCTAGTAACCCTACAGGTCAGGGTAGAACTGCCCCCTGTGAGTTTCAGAGACTCTTCATTGGAGTAGAAAGCCCCATCTTTCTCCCAAATGGCGGCTGGCAGTTTTGAACTGCTGACCTGACCATTAGCAGCCCAACTAGGAACCATTACGCCACCAGGGCTTGTGCATATAGGGTGGCAAGAACCTTGTCCCGGGTTCCATGTGCACTTAACTCATAAAAATAAATTGACTCATTAGAGTTGAAGCCAGCAGTCCTCAGTTCAAATCTTGGTTGTGTTGATTTCGAACTATTTTCTCGTAAGCAGATTCACTCTTGTGGGGAAAAATATTATTAACTGGAAATCATTAAAAAAGCCTACCTCACAGACTAGCTGTAAGGCTTAAAAGAGGTGCTTATAGATTCGGGTGGTGTTTTTTGGATAATGTATGCAAGATTGCACGTGTATGTGTGGACCCATATGCACACCTGTGTGCATGTACACGGGCATTCGGGGCTTGAGGCTAGCCTCTGCCACCACATCTGGAGCATGCAGGGCTGGGTGGGTCCGAAGGCATCGGTGAGCAGAATGTACCTGGAACGATGACGGAGTTCCCGCTCTCAGTCGCCGTCAGAAAACCCATACCGAATGATCTCAGACCAAGGGCAGCCTGGCTGCATTCCCCCTCTGCGCCTCCACGTGCCAACACGGCCCACAGACTTGGGTTTTGAAAGCTATTTACTTAGGATGAAACCATGAGGTCATTACCAATGATGGCAATTGGTATAATACTCTGCGTCATATTCTAAGGAATCTATCTTAAGGATAAGGAAACTATAGCTGTCTCAGTTTCTTTTTCTGCGTGTTTTCCTGGATACATGTCAGGAGGCGACACTGGGCAAGTCTAGCCTCTCTGCCCAGGTCTGTTCCCCTTTCTTTATGTGATGTCAGCTCTGCGGGCCTCCACCCTCCAAGGCCTTGACCGAGTGCCTCTGTGCCCAGATCTGCATCCAGGCGCCCACACGGACCGTCCTGCCAGGTGCACAGCGAGGAGTTGCTGGCTCCTTCCTGTCCACGCTGGCTTCTGTTAGTACAGCTCACAGCGATATCAGTCTGGGACCCAGAGGTGGTCCCAGGGCCATAGGTTAAGAAACATGCCCAGGACCAGTGCTTCTGCTGCCCGGCTGCACTGCAGACTCACTTCAACAGGCTTATCAAAATGCAGATTGCTAGAACTTGCCCCTGCATGGTGAATCAGAAACTCTGGGAAGAAGGTCCCTGGAAATCTCATGATATGCTCCCTAACAAATTCCAGCTATTCTGAAAGTTTGGGATTGTTTCACAGGGATGATGAAAAAACAGGCAAGTCAGGCATGTCAATGCCAGGGTCTCCATTCTTAAAATCATTACCTGCAGTCCACCCATGTTAACTCAAGGCCTCAGCCAGCAGGGGGCAGCACGTGCAGAGCATTTGAGTTGCAAAGACCACGGTCGGATTGCTCACAGGGACAGCGATCACAGGTGGCAACCTAGAATTGCACAGACGTTCTGTACTGGAGTAGCTCTCTGTTGACCACGTCGTTGTCTCATTGCGCCGTCTTCGTACCCTGCCTGCCAAGTATGAGTAGGTCCCACCTTTTTGTAAATGAAGACCAATGGTGTGACAGGTTTCCCACGTTTTATTGCTAGTAGCAGTCGGATGGGTTTCCGCCACCTTCCAGAGGGAGAGGGGAGAAATCACATATCACATTCCAGCCCCTTGAGGAAAAGAACAAGAACCAGAGCACATGCACTCCACAGCACACCCTTCCCTCCCACACCTCATCTCCACCCTCGAGGAAATAAAGTTCCGTAAAGGAGCCCTGGGGGCCCAGCAGTTCAGCATTCAGCAGGCAACCCAAGAGACAAGGGTTTGAACCTACCAGCCGCTCAGCAGAAGAAAGGGCCTGACAGCCTGCTCCACCAAGGTTTACAGCCTGGGACAGTCCACGGGGAAGCTGTCCTCTGTTCCCCAGGGAACACGTTCCTCTCAGCGAGTTCCTCTCACAAGGAGTTATGGAAAGGACACACAGTCCAACCCGGGATGTTTTTCATCTACAGAGAAGCCCATTTGCAGAGAGGTTAAGCAAACAAGCTAAACAAGCTTATCCTCCACGCACAGAACGTACAAAGTTCCGACAGTGCGTACTCTATCAGCAAAAGTGAGCGAGCCATCCAAAGGGCATCAGCTGGTTCTCTCCGTGTGCCACAGGCCTTGGCAAACCACGGACGGAATTTCTCAGACCCGAAGAGGCAGCAAATCACTGGAAATCTCATGTCAATGTAGACTCTGATTGAAGAATCGAAGGCAGGGCCTTCTTCGGAAGTTGCGTTTTCTAACAAGTTTTTCAGGTCCTGGTCCACGGACCATACTTTGAGTGGTAAGACCCAGCCAGGTCACCCCCCTGCCTGCCATTCTTCTCCACGAATAGAGGTCTTCCATTAGCAGGAGAGGGGG